TATAATATATTAAAATAATCATATTTTAACGATTTTCGATTTGACATCCATATTGCATATATAAAATATAAATAATTTTATTATCTTTATAAAAAAATACTCTTATTATCAAATAAATTTATAAAATATCAAATAAGAAAGTAAATTAATTTATAAAAAAATAAAATCTCATTCATCAATACACCATAAAATAATTAATTTAATCTACTTTTTTCTATAGATTTTGGATAAAATATAATAATTAAGTAATACATAAAATTAATTATAATAAATATTATAAAATATCGTTTTACGATTTAAATATATTATATAAGGAACTAAATGTTATTATGTAATTTAAAATACAAATAATAAAGCGATATCATAATTAAATATAATAAAATAATTTTGTGTTTTATATATTTATAAAATAATATATTTCTACATAAATTAATATTCTAAATTATCAAATTATATAAATTTAAAACTTATAAAATTAATAAAAGGGAGACACCGACTCTATAAATATAAAGTACAATCACAATACAATAAACTTGTTTTTTTATTAAAAAAAAATGAAAATAATCAGATATATGGAGTTGTAAATAATATTTGTTTTAGACATATATAATTTAAAAAATATAATTAAAAATATTATTTTTGATAAATTTAATGAAAAAATGCGGACGCCAATTAGTTATTTTTAATTATTGTGTATTTTCATAATAAAAATATAAATAGATTTTATATTTTTATTGTATAAATAATAATATGTTTAAGTATAAGTATAGTACAGGGTATTGTATTAGTCTATTAATATACCATGAACAACCGTTTTAGTATATTATCAGGAAAAAATGTAGAAATTTAGTATCAATAGAAAATGAATATGAAATTATTTTAAAAAATTATGCCTCAACGTAAAAAAAAAAAAAAAAGTATGTATAAAGTTTAAATGTTATTATGATGTTGTAAATAAAGATATGAATAAATATCATAATGTTATTATGATTATGATGTTGTAAATAAAGATATGAATAAATATCAGAATTAAAATTTTAAAATAATATAGTTTCATAAATTTAAAAAATATTACATTTGAGCCATTGAAAGAAGAAATTACTACACCGCAAGAAGAAGTTGACATTGTAAACATGGGTAAAGATGGTTGATTCTTCTGATTTTCAACAAGAGTCGGGACCAAAAAACTGATAGTAAACATAAATTCCATAAAATTGCCTTCTTTCTCTCTCAAAGCTCGTTTTCCCCAAATTTCTCAGAAAACCTAGCCTAAGTAAATCCCGTCGGCCTCCTCCTTGGCGGGGGCTCTGCACCGCCGTGCGGCTGCCGCCGTGCGGCCCGAGCGTCCTGCTTCCCCTCGAATAGTGGTCTCTCAAGCGGTTGGAGTACCATCAGGAGACGGCATCGTCTCTGGGCAGGGTCTTCGGTTCGCGGTGGTTCCGGCTTTCGACAGGGTTGCCGGTCGTTTTTTGCTCCGATCTCCGTCTGTCGGAAGTTGGAGCCAAGGTTAGGCTTCTATTTCCCCTGTTCTTTTGATCCCCGGGGTCGGGGCGGTCGATTGAGGCTGACGGTGGGGGTCGCATCTCCGGTGGTTGGTCGTCATGGGCTACTGGTGGTTGGGGAGGTGTTAGGAACTTGGGGCTACCTGTTCCTACCACCTTTTCCCGGCACTCTTGGGGTTAGGTGTTTGGCAACACGAGCACATATTGATATGGTGAAAAAATGAAATTAGTCGGATTCAATAGATTAACTATTGAAAAAAATGCTAAAAGATATGCTAAATAATTTGTGTAATTGAATGCTTACATAAACGTCATAATTATTTGTGTTAAATGTGATATATGGTTCTAATTAAAAAATCATTCAACATTTGTGACGTTTCTATTCGGTCCGACTTATTTTTGAGATAAGATAATAATGAATCTTTTAAAAGAGATGTATTTTACTATCTGCTTAAATTTTTACTAACATAAAATGAGGAATATTTGAGTCCTTTAAGAATTGTTTTAACGGATTTCCTTAAAATAATGTAACAAAATTTTGAAAGAATTTTTGTATATATAATTGAATCCGTTATGGCAATAAAAATAAATTAAGAATGGTATATTTTTGTTATAAGTAAATGTTCCCTAAAAAATTGGTAACAATGTATTAACTTTTTTTATTATCCGGTGGCATGTGAAATTAAATTTTTTTGACAAGGGATTTATTTAGTTAGATTTGTTTCTATGAAACAATATAAGTGAAATTAAATAAAATTAATGTAGATTTATATTTATCATCCATTCATTTGATTATTTAATTAAATAAGTTCGTTATTTATTAGTATGTAAATTTGAATGGTGGATTTATAATCGGTCAAATAATATAATCAAAATTTTGGATTACATTTGTGTTAATTTGTGCTATTTTATGCATGTCAATTACAAATGAGAGAATTTTTATAAAAGAGTATTTCGTTGTCTATTTGATTATAGTAGCCCAATGTATTTAATTGATATACATTGTATTTTAATTTAATTGATATACAAAATGATATACATTAAGTTTTATTTAATGGATTATAAATAATATTTTAATTATAAATTTGAAAGAGAGAAAAAGTTTTGTGGCCAAACGTTTTTTTATAAAGAAAGTCTCTCTACTAGTTATTCAAATAAATTTCAGATAAACATGATATGCCTGGTTTATTTACAAACTAAGTTCTCGATCAACAACAAAAACTCTAATTTATAAACAATTAAAATATTAATAGATACATTTACAAATGGAACAAGTTTTTTAGCAAATTTTGCATAGAAAATTCGTACCATAAATAATTAAAAATGTCGCAAAAGATTATACGTATATCATAAATAACTTAAAATTAGCAAATCAGATATATTAAACACGTGAAGATCAAAAGCCATTAAAAATTAAATTTAAATCAGATTACCAAAAGAAGTAAGTCAAAAGTTTTGACCAATTTTTTAATCAACTTTCCACAAATAATTTTTCCATCAACCTTTTTCAATATATATAGATATAGATTGTATTAATTTTCATAATATGATTTGTTTATTTATTTTTTTACCATCGTGCACCATTTTAAAATTGCATATTTCATAGATATTAGGTAACATATGTCGAATTGAGGTCCATCTGTTTGTTTCAATTAAATTACCACAAAAAAATTGGATATAGAGTCATGTGATATTGGGTCTCTTTCAAATTTGAATGTTTGATCTAATTGGTTATGTTTGTTACCTTTATTTAATTGTTTAACTAATTTTTTTTTTTTTTG